ATCTATATTGCCATTAGTTTCTGTCTCTTGCATGTGCTGTTCAGAAAAGGACTTCTAATCTGCAGGCCTCTGCCCCAACCCAAGATGATTCAGCTTCATTCCAAACATTATTTCAGTTTTTTTCCCCCATGACAAACTCTGTAAAATAAAACTCTACTTCTGACTAACAAAGGCTACAAGAGCCTTTCCATCTCCCAGAGCTAATTCATAGACCAACTCCACACAACAGAGTTCTTCTGTCTTTTACTGGAACCACTTGACACTTCATAATTACTAACTGACAGGGCTGCCTTACTGCAACCACTTGCCCGTTTAGCAGAGACCATCCTGCTGAAAAGAAAATAATCATAATACACAGAAATACTGTAGGGCTGGCCTCACTGCAGGTGAGCAAACTGAGTAGCTTAACCACAAATAACATGAAAGGCAGCAATGTGAATGTGGAAGTACTCAGATCTTTAAAAAAAATAATAATCTTAGAGCCTTGAATTAAATTTTGTGATGAAATTTAAGAGACTTTTTGTTTCAGCTAGTTTCCTAAGATATATTTTTGCCTTTAATTTATTCTTTCAAAATAACTAGATACACATATTTTGAATAGAGAGCAAATAGGTATTTGCATTCCCTATGCTTTCCTAGAATTATCTTAAATAAACTCTGTTTTATCATGATTGCATCTAGTCATTTCCAGACCTGTTAAACTGGTCACTGACACCCACACCACACCCCCATCCGCGCCTTGCTTAAGGATTAATTTAATGGCAGGAGTGAGCATAGTTGGTATGTAACACACTTCAGCAATCTACAAACGTTTAACTGACAGACATAGAGACACTTTCCAGTTGTATGGAAGTTAAAAGTTTGAGCCAGTGAAATTCACCTGTTCCCTAACCCCGAGTTTGGAAGAAAAAGTTCTGATTTAAAACAAAGTGAAATCTTGATTCCAGAAGATAACTAGCAAACAACCCATGAGTAAAATAGTAAACTTTTTTAAGGGAACAAAGGAAAAAAATACAAATGACATTTCCTTTAAAAAATGGCATGACATATTTGTTTACTGCATTATATAGTGCAGGCTTCTTACTAGAAAAGTGCCTGATTCACACCAATCCTAAACCTCAGGGGGAGAGAGACAGATATATTTCTTTAGTTACCACGACTGGGACCCTAGTCAACAACATGTATAAACCCCCGCAGCTTCTTACTCTTTAGTTCTACAGCATTCTGTCAGACTTCACATTTAAAATATCACTCAACACTTCTGATTGCCATTACCATATTTACTGCACTTGTACATATACATGTACAGAAACACACGTGTATATATACATGTAATTTGACAAAGCTTATATACATATATAATTACACTTTTTTTCACACTATAAATATATGCACGTGTGTTTACATGCAGCAGACCTGTATCTTTGATTCTGAAAAAGGCATATTCATTTTCATGGATGCCACTGAGGAAATGAAAAGCAATATAAGGGTACTGTAATCATTTAACTGATTTGGATATGCACATTTATTTTTTAATAAAACATGCTACCACAGGAAAATAAATATAAATATTAATGTATAATATTGAGTATTAATTATTAACGGCAGCCTTCATCTACATTCAGCTTCTAAAATACTGTTATAACTTTCCACTGTCACAAAGAATTACTGTGTACTGACAGGGTTTACTGGAGCTCATGGTACAATAAAGAATTTTTTAGATTGCTCTTGTGTGTCTCAGCAGTCCCTTGGAGAAGCAATGAATTTGCACATGTATTGATAAATAAGAGTAGGAAGAATTTATATGAATCTTTTTAGATTTTTCTGAACAGCAGAATGGCTTTGGGCACACACTAGGAGAGCAGACTTCATGGAACATCACGTGTACAGAATAAACACATTACTGCATAAAGTGGGCTGAGGAGGTAAGAATTTTACACTCATCTCAGATGAGGCTAGAGCAAACACGCCTTACATATTCTAAAAGCCTGCTGTTTTGTGTGTAACATATGCTAGTGAGGATAGAGTTGTTTGCAACAGCAAGTGTTTTCTTGTTTTGCTCCATATTCAAATGTTATGCAATGCAATCTTGCAACCTCCTTGCACAAAAAAAAAAAAAATCTTTATTTGGAAATATTCTTACTGATTTCCATTTTACATCTAGAGATTTTGGACTGTTAATAAATTGGGCATTTGTATTTTGCAGAAGCTGATGACTAATAGAAAATAACCACAACAGAGGACAGGAATCAGAAAACCACTACTATCAGAATCTGATTGCAAAGAAATGAGTTTTAATACAAAATGCCCAATTCCAGATCCTCCAAAAAATCTTCAGTAAGTAGTAATCTGTTGCAGCAATCACTCCAATAAACCCATTCTTCCCAGAAAAATATAAAACTGTACTTCCAAAACCCAACAGATTACAGTAAAATTTTGAAAACAACTCTGTCAAGAATGAAACAATGAAAATAAATAAATAAATGAAAATCCCAAACCAAAACAAAACTCCAAACCAACCAAAAATCAAAACTACATAAAAATGGAAAACAAATTAAAGCTAAGCAAAATATATGTATCTGCATCATGCCCTGACACCTGTTCAGTAGACAAAAGCACTGGCAGATTGTGAAACAGAAGAAATTCCAGGCTGAAAATTCTATCACTAAATTTGGAGAGTTCAAGTTCTAAAAGCCAACATCAAGAGCCTCAAGCACCATTAAAGCAGGGTAATGAGTTGGGGAGGGGGGGAGTGGGACACCTCCTATCTACCTGTGTCTCAAATCATCCCAGTCTTTGTTTTTCCCACTACCACTCTACATTCAGCAAGAAGCCTACAGAAAACCTGGGCTTTTCAAACCAAGTACTGGTCTGCCATCTGTATTCACAGAGGTGAGGCAACAGAGACAAAAGTATCCTGTCTACACAGGATGTAGACACAGATTTTGCAGTAAAAAGGGGCAAATAGATCTCAGAGATAGTAAATTGATAAAGCAAAACACAGTTCCCTACAGACTTATCAGACCACCCCCAAAAGCAGTCTAGTTGAGGATTCACAGCACTGTACATTCACTGCTTCTGGACATGTTCTTGCTACTACCACTCTCAGCTTACCAGTGAACTTGGCTCTGGAACAAGAACAAGCAGTGCTACTTCAGCTCTCTCTGAATCTCTGATACACGTAAGCTATAAACTCACAAATTATTCAGGTTGGAAAGGACTTCAGCAGGTCTCTAGTCCAACCTCCTGCTCAAGGACGGCTGAGATATCAGATAAGGCTGCTCACAACTTTAGCCAGCCAAGTCTTAAGAATCTGTAAGGAGAGAGACTACACGGCCTCTCTGGGCAACCTTTTCCAGTGCCTGGCTATCCTCAAGGAGAAAAGTTTCTCCTTATATCCAGCCGGAACACATCTTTTTTCAATCTACATTGGTTTCTCACCCTCCCATCACTGACCACTAGGAAGAGCTGCACACATTCTGCATGAGCTCCTCAAAGGTACTGCACGGTTTCTACTGGGTCCCCCCAGAGCCTTCCCTTTGCCAGGCTGAACACAGTCAGGTTCCTCAGTCTCTGGTCATATGGTGAACACTCCAGCCCTCTCATGACCTTGGTGACCCTCTGCTGCACTTGCTCCATTTTATCAAAGTCTTGCACTGTGGGACCAAACCTGGACACAGTTCACTAGGTCAGTTCCCAGCCTGTGTCACAGGAGGGGTTCTTCCTTCCCAGGTACATAGCTGTATTTGTCTTTGCTGAATTTTGCATGTCTCCTGTCAGCCTGTTCCTCCAGTCTGCCCAGGTCCCTCTGAATGGGAGCTTTTCTCTTAAGGGCACCAACCATTCCCCTCAATGTGGTTCTCTGCAAACGATGTAAGTCACTGTCACCTGCTTCAGGTGATCAGTAAAGATGTTAAGAACAACAGGTTTCAGAACAGATTCCTGTGGTGCCCAGTCAAAGTAAAACACAATCCCTTCACCACCACTCTCAGCTGAACATCCTCAGAGTCCTCAGAGTACTTTTGAAAAGTCTGCTCTAAGAAAAGGTGGTACAGAAGTATCTCTTACTCAGAGGAGTCTTTTTCCTTTTGGGATAAGGAGCTACACTAATTCTATTGACAGCTGTAATTCACAAATAGCTCTGGCCTAGCTTTATTAGGCAGACAATACATAAAATCCTAAAAAATGGAGACACTCTTCTTGCTGCTACATATGAACTGTCACATAAGGTCCAAATCACTTACTGCTACTCATTTACACACTGTTTAATGTCAATATGAGGCTTTATATAGTCCACAATTTATGACAGTTTAGTAACTGGTATTCTCAACCTGAGAAGTCAGAAGAAAAATATGCTGTAAATTAACTATTCATGTTCAGCTGGTTGAGTGGGAACAAGAAAAGGATTTTCGTCCTTCAAGTGTCTCATGGAGACATCAAATATGAATCTAACACCCTCTCAGGGAGGATTATAAATTTCTTCATCTGTTTACTCCTGTAACGAGTGAAAGAAAAAGACTGAAAGTCATATGGTTGCACTGGCTCAGGGGGCAGGATGACTGATCAGATTCTGTCATGTACTGATCGTGTACTCTACTCTCACCTCTGATCACACAGCACTAAGCAGAAGCACTGGCCTTCAAAGGTAGTTACTCCTGATATTAGCTCTTTCCCCAAATCATCACCCAAAATGGAAGACATGCTCATATATACTTAAAACATTTCATACTAACTAGATGTGAATGATACAGCATAAAAGTGGAGTTTCCTCTGAAACTCACTTTGACATACAAATTTTCACAGAAACAATTACCAGATGAAATAGTTCTTTTTCAAAAATAAGTAGTTCCTCATGGTGTCAGCATTTAAATGTAATAAAACAGAAAACCACTTCAAAATAAAAGCAGATAGCCGTCACTGTATTTCTTACAAGTAAAATGAACCCTTCTTAGCTTGTATAAAAAGCAGTATCGTGCCTGACACATCACTTTAGTACTTACGAGAAAAATGATTAGAAGTGGATGGATGAACATTACTTCCACTGTCAGCACTCTCACTGCTAGACATGTCATCGTCTGATTCCCACACACAGGAACAGGGTGAGGTGCCACCAACTTCTTCAAACTTCCTCTTTAAAATTCCACTCATCGCTGCAATGCTCTCAACATACACCTGTAACAGGAACAGAGGCAATGAGGCACTGACACACCTGTCTCCTGTGCAGGTCTTCCAATTCATTCACCCTGGAAGAGTTCACATACCAATCAGATGCTACTACCTGTAGCTAAACCTGTAGCTAAAACTCCTTACCAAGAGTTTTAAACAACTTTTCCAAGAAGATGTCAAAAAAACCTTATCAGTATATTTATCATCTGTAATGTAAATTTATCATCCGTAATGTAAATGCTACCTGTATTCTGCCAGTGCAAAGAAAATTCTATAATCAATCCCATGTGTAAAAATATATATATTTCAGTCAGGCAGCAATTTTGGGCCAAGCATAAAGTATACATACTCCAATATAATTCACCAAAAATGTGCCTTTATACAACACTTAGAAACTTACTTGGCACCAAGAAACATCACATGACAAAAATCAGTGTTCACTAATTAATATAGTTCAGAAAAAAATATTCTCTTTTGATTTATTTTAAAGGTCTGATTTATGTAATACTCAGTACTAACAAATGCCCACATTTGCAATTAGGTTTGAGAGCTGTATGACACACTTAGCATCAGGGCAGGCCCTGCAAACACAGTTCTGGCTCATTTTGTCATTTTAATTTATGCAGGAGTTTCTTGCATAGCCTTTTTGAAATTCAGATATGAGTACTGGCACACATGTAGACTATTTCCATTCAAACAAGTATCAAGGGACTGAATCTATCCTTATGGACTTGACTTCCTAATAACATTGCCCAACAAAGCCAGAGTCATGTTGAATATTCCTTATTGTTTCTCTTTCATATATAACAGCTGATCTTCATATACCCATTTATAAAATACCAAGCAGAAAAATATCAAAATATTTTAAAGCAATTCCTAAATCATTTTAATACATCTGATGGGCTGAAACATTTTTTCTCTATCTTTAATTAAAAATTATCTTGCTAGTTTACTGTCACCATCACTACTGATTATATCCTACTGAAGACTGAAAATTAATTCTAAGATCTTAAGTTAAAAGTTACAGATAACATCTACTCTCTGACTACACTTATCAGTGAAACACTGTTGTAAATAGCTGGGGAAAAAAGGCTGCTGTTTGATGCTTTTAAGCATATAGTACCAGAAGTTCTCATGCTTCTGAATGCCACTTGCCTTCATCTTGTTAAGCTGCCAATTCAATTGATTTTATAACAAAGTTATTTCCTCCAGTAAGCTTCACTCTACCTTTATGGATGTGTCTAAATTAGAGAAAAGATTTCAGTATAGATGTGGAATCCTGACATAATGCTAAGAACAGATGCTGCATAAACATGACTTTCAGCTCCCAACTTGTTCATATGCAGAGCACACTAAAAATTAAATAACGAATATATTGGGTTTAATACTCTCAGTAAGACAGCTTTGAATGCATATGCTCACCATGATGTTCTCAGCTTGTTTTACTATTTATGAAAAAAAATGTTTTCCTGAAAGGGATTTCTTCAGGCTAAATATATAACTCAAACAGAATATGCTTAGATCTCAACCTCTGCCCTTTTGTCCAAAAATGAATTGCTATGAACTGCAAAGAAAGGATTGTATTTTTATTCTGAGGACATGGAAAGGAGAATTAAGCATCACTTTGTAATAACCTTTGCAAAAAATGTAAGAATACATGACATTTTTATGAATCACACTTTAGTAAAAACACATTTACACATGGAAAAAAAAAGAAAGAAAAGAACTAAACACGCACACACTGAAACTCCACAATTACAAAGAGGGGGAAGAAACCCCTTACCCCCTCCCTGAAAAAACAGATTTAGAAACAACTCCTCTGAATTGTCCCCCACGTCCTCACTCTATCTCTTGCCAACTACCTTTTCCATTGCCTCCTGCAGTGCTTACAGCACTGAAATTGTGAAATCACCATTATTTCCATGGCAACAGCCTGCAATATCAAATCCACAGGATTACAGCTTGACTGCAGAAGAGGGTAAAGAAGCAGCTGGAGTGTGAGAAAGAAAATGCTTACACTCAAACATCTCAGTGAAGAGAGTGAGAAATGGGCTGACAAAGAGTTTATCGTACAAGCGAGACCTAAATCACATCCATGTCTGTGCCCATTGAAATTGTGGCTACAAGAGTTGTGGAGTTCCAGTTCCAAAGAACCTCAGTCATAAGTGCACTGCAAGGCAAACCTAATAGCTGCAATCATCACTAGTGCACAGACTGTCAGAGAGCAAGATCCGATTTCATAGCCTGAGATGATTTCCAGACAAAAGCCCTTTTGTCAGACACTGTCTTCCACCCGATACCACACAGTGACTGGATGACTAATGTGCATCTTGCACATCAGTAAAGCCATTGCAGATAGAGAGTCTCAACAGCCAGAACTGTTCACAACAAGTGGCAGAAACAAATATTTTTCACAACAAAGGGTTTTAAATTTACTTGCTTTTGGTACAGCCTACATTTGCAACAAGTGCCACAACCTGGTAACAAAGCCATTTCATTAAGATTTATAGAATGAACCATAACAAATTATTCCCAGGATCCTTGGAAATGGCATATAGGTTAGCTCTACACCCAGCTAGTTGATTTAGATAAGCCAGGAGGTACAGGAATACTGCAGAACCTGCACATCACCACAACACAAAGAAGGCAAAACTATCCATTATATATATTTAGTGTGACTGTTGCCTGATTTTTGTTCTGAATATCTTCTACGAAGATTATTGAGAAGGTTGTTTGACAAAATAGTTGCAATACAATTCAGGTGTTGCCACTTTCCCGAGATCTGTTGATTCTAATCTTTCTGCTATCAAGTCTCCCCAGGAAAATGTTATGTGGGGGAAAGGAGACATTTCCATTATTTAAGAGCTTGGCTATCACACAGATAGATTAGAGAGTATTTAAAGCTGTTTGTATACACTATGTACCAGCGGGAGATCCCTTCAGAATAACATCTGTATAAACAGATGCCTCTCCATAAGCCAATATTCTTCAGAAAGAGGCACATCTGCACAGTAGCACACAAGGCATGTTCTATCTGATTGCCTTGTTTACACAGGCATCCCGCAGTACCTGCGAGACCTACTTCTCCAAGAACCAGGACATACGAAGCATGGGACACACAACCCAGTGCTGTTTATGAAACTGTTATTTTGCTCTCTGCTCATTATACGATACATCCCAGTGGAAGGCCGGGATATATGCCAGAGACCAACAAGAATAAGCAACAGTCAAACTTCTATCAGCAATGAGGGCACAAAGTTAGTGATATCACGAACAGTTCCATAAGTCCACAGTCAGGAAACCAGGACTCAGCTCAACTGAACTCAACTGAATTGGTCTTTGCCCTGCACCATAATTACAACTGAATAGGTAATCTCAGATTTTGGGGAATCAAACTGAAGCAACTGCAGTCTCAAAGAAATCTGGATCCAAACTCATCTGAACAGAAGACCCTCCAGGTTTAGGGGATAAGGCACCGAAGATGTACAAAAGTCAACTTTTCAATACATGAATGGAAAGCAAAACTATACATAAATCTCGTATCTGATAAGAGGAATCATACAGGTAATGTAAGTACACAGCAGTACAATTTTGCTAAAACAAGTCACTTAGGACATATGAAAAAGTACCACCACACAGGATGGGAAAACTCAAATACAGAAGTACTGTAGCAATATGTGTATTCTGAAAAAAAAAAAAAGGCAAATGTACATAGGTATAGAATACAGTACACAGAAGTCCACAACCGACTACAGGAACCAGACAACATGACTAAGAAAAACAAACGCAGCATGGTGAAACAATATTCTTGGACTTCCAGTAAGACACCAGTGAGGTTCAGCCTTCACAGGCAAACACTGAAAAACAACCACCAGCTACAGTTAAGAGATCTGCTATATTAAACTTACCCATTTGGTTAAAAAGAGCGAAAGTTGTCTTGAAAAGTTCAATTAGAAACAGACCTTTCTGGATGATTACTAAATAGCTGTCTGGTAGCTATGATTCATTTGGAGCAGCATCCTGCTGATTCACACAACTGAGTAACAAGCAGGCACTGGAAGCTTTCCTGTTTGTTGATATATCCTTCACACAAAAAATCCTTGCACAGCGATGTGATACATCATCCTCTGCCATCCCTCACAGTGCTCATGTGCCATTAATCCACAGCAAAGCAAAACAAAGTTGAAAAGGAGGGAGCAGAGTATTAAAGCAAGGAAAACCAGCTAACATACAGTGCTGTGAGCTCTAGGTCAAACACCAATTGCCTGACACAGTTAAGGATTCTTCAAGAAAATGGCAACCTGACACAGCAGAAGCATATGATGGATGTGGGCTGCAAGAAGGATACATCTCTCTTAAACATCCCCACCATTCATTTTTTCCTCCTTTCTTTCCTAGTTTTCCTCCACCCTGAAGAAACTACTCCTACAAAGAGATCATTTCTGTAGTTGTCTAGCTGCAGGTATGCTGACTGCAGGTCCTCAAAGCTCCATGGCAACAGGTTCTGCCTTGCTATGATGCCAGATAATTGGCTGGCACCATATATTTAAAAAGTTGAGAGGCAACATGTTATTACTAGAAGACAAAAATCCCATGTAAATGTGGGGGATATATTTAAAACAGTCACAATACTACCTGGAACCTACAAAGTAAAATAATGTAAAAGCCTGGCTGGTTTAATTTTTTTCTGGTACCTAAAAAGGCTGGAAATTTTAGGAAATCTTTGTAACAATCTCGTTGCAGCAAGCATCTCCAAATCCCAGTAAAAATCCCCAAAAGAGTAATATTAGAATTACTGAGGGAGTGAAGGGGAGGGAAACTGCATTCATATACCAGTGCTCCCAAGAGGAAATTCTTATGGCATTGCGACAACATACACTGCCAACCTTGTTCTACAAACCCTAACTTTAGGTTGCGATATCCTCAGTGTCTCACTGACACACATATGGACAGAAAAAAAGTAAACCAAAAAATAATCCACCAAAAAAAAAAAGGCACCGGGACCA